ATTTCTTACTAAACTATTATCAATTTATAAAAAAAAACTTTTTTACCCTCCCTGTTGCAGCAAACCTAAGTACTCGTTAAACTTATTCTATTTAAATAGGAAATAAATGTGCTATTTTTATGGAGGAATTTAATGTAAATCTAATCAGGTTAATGGAAATTCGCTTAGTCTGCAGGTTTGCTGCGGCGGGGGTATTGTTATATATTTTATTGCTTTCGTTCGCTTTTAAAATATATTTACCTTTGGAGACTCCTTTGCAGCCTAGACGTTCTAACTCATAAAACAATTAACAAACTACAAAGCAAATTTCTAATCTCACAGTATACTAAATATTTACATCATAATTACTTTGGTGCTTGAAAACTATTTATGGATGATACCATAATTAACTCTTCGTCAGCTGTTTTTAAATGATCCAAGATAGCCGCTAGCCTCCAAGGACTCTTAAACTTTTATTCATAGTGATGATTGAGTGTGGTAACAAAGTTTATGAATTACTCTACACCTACTTTTGGATCATTCATTGACTGGACTATATATACTATATTTGATTTTCCAGGTGGTACTGGCTGTCATCTATTTTTCAATTCTTTTTTATGTTAACCACTCCAGTTACCCAGAATAAAGTGTTCAATTTTAATGCCAAAATAGGTGGAGAACGTATGAGTCAGTTTACTTATACTGTTTATTTTTAATGGCAATCTTTCCTTAAGATCTCATGGAAGTAATGGAAAATAGAATTATTTTTGGAAAAGTCCCAAACGAGGTTATTATTGTTAAATGGGAGAAAGTATGTGTCAGATTGCTGATACCGTTTATTTTTTATTTATGACAACAGCTAATTTGAAACCAAAAGGTGAGTGAGCGTAGCGGACGAACTTCAACCAGGATCTTGAAAATGAACAAGCATTTGACATAAAACCACATTAGGACAGGACGACGTCTGTCGGTCCAGCTAGTTGGGTATAAATTTAAAGCTCTTATCCTCTAGATGTGCATTTTGCTGATTTGGATGATATCTTGTGAAAACCCTTCGTTAGGCTTTTAAAATTTCAGAGGTTGTGCTAAATTCTGTTATCAATCATCTTAGCTTTTTCAAGTTTACATTTTGTTTACATCAAAACGGATGGGCATGAGACAATATTTTGTTTACATTCATACGAAAATAAGATTATCTGTAGTTGGTGATGTTTTAGTGAATTCAAGTAAAATTTTGTAATGATAGTTTATTTGTATAGAATGTAAAGAAGGAAATTTACATTAGACTCTTTGTTATCATGGTGTTACGTTAGTATTTGTAGTTTTTCTAAGATGCCTCGAAGAGATCGTACACGCAATGAAAAATAATAAGGCACACAATGCAAATAATTGGGATATGATGAGAAATAATAGTTTTCACCCTCATCAACTACATATCTTACTAATATTATAAATTTGAAAGTTTGTGAGTTTGTGTGTATGTTTGTGTGTGTGTTTGTGTGTGTGTTTGTGTGTGTGTTGCTCAATCACGCATAAACTACTAAACGGATTGGGCTGAAATTTGGCATGATCATAGCTCACATTCCCGATTAACATTAAAGCATATTCTTATCTCAAAAACCCTTTCGGGCTCCGCCCTAGTGGCTCTGTAGTTCCCCATGTTAATCTTATGATTTTTCATATTTAAAAGGAATTAATGAATCTTAACAACTGTTTCAATTAAACAAGTTGGTTCTGTTCTATGATGTTCAATAGCATAAAAGCTACAAGGATTACCAACAGGGTGCAGCACTTTAATTTTTTTTTTAATTTATGACAACAGCTAATTTCCAACCAAAAGGTGAGTGAGCGTAGCGAACGAACTTGAACCAGGACGTGAATGAGCCATGCGAATACTTATGAAGTTAAACGGGGCGAAGCCCGCGGGTACAGCTAGTTGTCAATAGTTTCATACTGTATGTGTGTTGGTAGAATGTAAAATAAATCAAATTATATTTTATTACAGTATTGTGTTTTTTAAGTAATTTACGTTCATATTTTCTCATCATTTCGCAAATTTCTTACTAAAATAATAAGATTTGAAACTTCCAACTTCAGATGGAATCTACTTATCCTAGCTGTTATATGTTTCCGCATCAACAATCACATATGTGATGTGAAAATGTTTCCAGATGTGGTTCTATTGTCGATTCTGACTTTCACTTATTTCAAGTTTAGCTGTTGGATTCCCTTCCCGCTACAAAGTTTAGAACTTGGATTTTGTTGAAGGTTTCTGTTCATAACTCGTGCTACCCCTATCTGCTGCTGTGTTATTTATTATTTAGAAATTATTACTTTGGCAGAAACTCTATTTCACTGAAATATTAAGCGCAAAATACACCAAAATATGAACAACCGATACAAAACTCAAATAAACGCCATTAGTTCTTTGTCTTCCATGTTTAAATTATGAATATTTTACAATATTGTGTACCAAAAACCTCTCACCTAATAAGTGAGGAGTTCAAACATAAATAGTATGTTAGGTCTTACTATCCAAATACAAATAATTTAGTAAGATGGCTGTTTTAATGAATTTTCGAAAATAAACAACCTATAGTTTGTTATTTTTAAGTAATACTACAGTATAGTGGTATATCATTACTCCAATTTAAGTTATATGGTTACTGTTGAAGTGTAACACGTTTTGTTTGACAGGAAACAGTTCTCAGGGTCTATGAAGGTCCTTCTATCCAGAAAAAATATAACTTACTCAGACGAGAGAAGAAGTTTTTATGAATTCAAATTTATTTTAAAAACACGAATTCATCTAATTTATTCGTTGTAAAATCATAGTAGGATAAAATATTGAACTCCGAAATATAGTTAACATATGCCAATAAAAATTATACACCTTTTAATAATCCATCCTAATACACCTATTTAAACTACCATTTACAAGGCGTAATGTTGTTCACTAGCTGTAAGATATTTTTTAGCCTGATTTTTTACCAAAGATTTTTGTGTGTATGTTTGTTTGTGTGTTTGTTGCTCAATCACGCATAAACTACTGGACGGATTGGGCTGAAATTTGGCATGATGATAGCTCACATTCCCGATTAACATTAAAGCATATTCTTATCTCAAAAACCCTTTCGGGCTCCGCCCCAGTGGCTCTGTAGTTCCCCATGTTAACCTTATGATTTTTCATATTTAAAAGGAATTAATGAATCTTAACAGCTGTTTCAATTAAACAAGTTGGTTCTGTTCTATGATGTTCAATAGCATTAAAGTTACAAGGATTACCAACAGGGTGCAGCACTATCATTTTTTTTTAATTTATGACAACAGCTAATTTCCATCCAAAAGGTGAGTGAGCGTAGCGAACGAACTTCAACCTGGAGGCGAGTTAGCGTAGCGAACGAGCTAACCTGAAGGCAAGTGAGCGCAGCGAACGAGCTCCAACTTAAAGGTGAGTGAGCGTAGCGAACGAACTTAAACCAGGACGTGAAAGAGCCATGCGAATACTTATGAAGTTTAATGGGGCAAAGCCCGCGGGTACAGCTAGTATAAAATATATTACGGATTTTGAAGTCACAAAATGACGCTGACTGCTAGTATATAGCTACAGAGTTTTGAATCTCAGTCATATTTTTAGTTCAGTGTTTTAATTTCTTTTCAAACCCATTAAGTAATATATAAAGAGGCTCTAATGGATCTTTTGTGAGAGCAATTTCGGAGTCCAAGTGTTTAAGTCATTAACATATTGAATAACAATGCCAAAGAAAATCGTTTAAGGAATTTTATTACAGCTCTGTGAAAACAGTCGTTATGGATGTTAATAATAATGATAATCAAATTTTCAAACGCTGTTTCATATACTTGGAATTGTGGAATTGTTACGTTTCACGTTTAAGTTTTAACCACGATTACTACGAGGGGACCCTTGCGCAAGTTCTGCAGTTGAAAAGGGTCCAAAAGTTGTTTCCGAGGCAAAACTAATCCAGCATAATACTTATTTACCTTTTCAAGATTGTTTGTTTGGAACAGTTATTAGGTGACTAGAGCTACTAATTTACAATTTTTTTTTCTTTTGATCTACACTTTAATGAGTGATTTACCTACCTCAATCAGGCCACAGTTGTAAAAAAATAACCTATTTAAGATAGATTTTTATAAACTGTTTAGTCTCTTGTTAACAATCTGACTGTGGTTAGACATTCAACTGAAGGAACATCAGTTAAATTTCAATAATTCACATTTGATCCGTTATAAAGAAAGTTGGTCAGCATAACTGGATTTTGTAGCAGGCTCTAGAAATAAATTAAACGTGAGGGGCCAAAATACTATTCGCAGGTTCTCTAAAAGCTATAATAAAGCTTATATTATAAAAGCACATAAGCTTTAAAAAGGCACTATAACCGTAAAAATCGGTTAAGTAGGACGGCTGAAAAAGGAAAGTTACAGGGAAACCCCATAGATATATAGATTTTTTTTAAAAATATATTACTGATTCCCAATTGTATATTATAAAACATTTGTTGTTTATTGTATTTGTTCCAGGTTTTGTGCACATTTAAACTACTGTACAGTACTTATTTTAAAATTAGAATTGCCGTGTCATTTAAACAACTCCATATCATTGTGAAAGATTGAATTACGTACAGCAATAATAAAAGTGGGATTCTTTTAGTTAATCCCATACTTGTAGTTGTTTTCTTTTTATTGGTCAGTGTGCTTAGGTTTGATTTGATTATCTTAAAAAGCTACATATTGTTAAATTTTGGTTTTCGGGAGAAGACTACACAGTTAACTTCACTAAAGGACTGGCCGTTATCTCGGATTCATTTTAGTACTCAATCTTTGGGGTATTGGGGTAAACCAAAGGACCCAGGATTCAACAGCTTCTTTAAGCTTCTAGTTCTAGACCGTGTTTATGTTCACTTAACTACATCCTACACAACAATTTACAGATATGTCTACTCAAAAAATCATTCTGTGAGTCTTAAAAAAAGAATTTAGGAAATTAAAAGATCCAACAATTTCAGATGTCACGGCTGATTTATTCAGTCAGACTCCTCGGAAGAGTGAGTGTAGGTGTGAGTGTTAGTCACAGTGGGTTTATCAGAGCCTCCGTGAGTGGAAGTGGTAGTGGTGACCTTCTTGCCACTCCCATCATGTACTGTGGCGGAGTGGACGTGTGAGTGGGAGTGGGATTGTTGAGAGTAGGATGTCTTCTGTCCAACAGCGGGAGCGTGGGGAGCAGCGTCCTCTTCCGAAGAGGAGGAGGAGGAGGAGGAGGAGTCAGAACCAGCCTTGAAGGATTGCTTCATCCCCTTGAAGGGTTTGTGGGGTTTGTGGGCCACAGCCACGGTAGCTAGAGCAACGAGCAGGCACAGCTGTAAAATAGAGAACGTTTATCTGGTGAAACTGTCAAAGGCGTTGAATTTCAATGTTTTCATGTAATTTTCAGTATTTTTATTTAAATTCTGTATACAACATTCACTAACTGTTTTGATGTATCATTTCTGGTCACTGAAGGGCAAACAACAAACCAAAGGCCCAAAGGACCAAAGGGCCAAAGGAGGGGAGGGACTATACTCTGGTAACAAAATTTAAGCTGTTGTAGGGGAAGCAATTCCATCCCCTACCCTCAAAACAACAGCTGGACAGATGTTAATAAGTTCAAACCGTCAATCAGCTGTAACATACTTTATGAAAAAAGTGGTGGGGAACCCAGAAAAACATCCCCTCAAACAAACCGCCTAAATTTCGTCAACAAACTATAGCATAAACATTCTAGACCGACACACCATACGGAATCAAGTTACTTTTTTGCACAAACAAATTAAAATAAATGCACTTTTATACAGACCAAAAGCTATGAATTGTATCAAAAAATAATAAAAAGTTGTTTCATATCCATTTTTCTTAAATGATACTACTTTCTACATTCCAGATGTTGAATAAGCATGCTTAAGATATTTTAACCGTATTGAGTGGTTTTTATTCTTTTACTATTGCAATACCAGACTTCTTAGGCGTTTTGGCTAAGACTAAAAGTTATTCAAAATCTTGAAACCTTGAAATAGAACCAAACTGGTAGATTTTTTCTTGATAACTTGTTTATTTTACCTGTGAAGGTTTAGACCAAAGGTCCACTCCACCAAGAGAGAGAGAGATATATATAAATCAATGTCTATAATGTATTTACACATATTACATAGGCTACCTAAACCTACTTATATAACTTTTTTTCTTTTAAAGGTTTGTATAAGTGAACTCTACCATAGACTACTCTACATATAAAAAAAACACTTACAGAACATATGATTGAAAGCTAAGTATACTGGTAAGCAGAACTGTCTAGAGATTGTGGAATTTATTTCTTTATCAAACTATTTGCAGAAAATTACTTTTTGTCTTCTTTAATCATAATATAGCAAAAAAAAAATAGAATAAGATGGGAACATCCATGTTACTAAACAACACACAATAGCCAGTGAAGTTTGTCACAGTAATTGAATCTAACCCTAGGTAGGTAGCTAACTTACCACTTACAGCTAATGACAAAGTTATACTTACACAGATGAAGTGTTTCATTTTGAAAGTTGGAGTGGATATCTTGGGCTCTCATTAGGTTTATATACCTTGGTAGGCGCAGGTGGTTGTGTTGGTAGACCTGTCGTCTACTTGACATTAGTGTTTGTTAAGTTGGCAATGTCTTGACACTAAGTCAACATTTCAACCAGCTGATTCCCAGAATCAATCATTCATGTCCATGAGATGTCATTGGGGTTTGTATGAGTATTTAGCAATGGAAGAATATAGCACTAACTGAATGTCATTGGTGTCATAGGTTTACACTTTAAAGTAATTTTCACTTTTAGATTATTATGGTAAAATTAATTTGCTCTAGACTAAAAAGAGTACAAATTTGTTTATATTAATTAAATTCATGGTTTAATTTTAAAACTTTATGTGAAGGAAGGCAGTAATATTTCAAATCTTATTGGTTACTCTGTGGTGTGCAATATGAAACTCCTCTTTAAAAAATTGATGGAATAGTATCTTCTGAATAAACAAAAAAATAATAAATTATCAAAGCCCTGTAAACTGTGCATCAAAACTTAATTGTTTTTGTTAGCACTTCCTAAACAGCTGTATGACATTTTTACTAACTGCTGTCAAGGTTTAGTGAGATTTGTGTCAATGGAATCCAGATTGATGAGGGTTATTAGATATTGAATGAATTTCCGAATTTAATTGTCAGCCATATTAATAATAATAATAACTATTGGTACAAAAAGTAGATTATACCAGTCAAAATGTTACTGTTACTATTAGAGTTATTAGTTGAGATGGGTACTCCACCTAGGTGCAGTATTTTTAACCGACTTCCCCACTACCAACAAAAGGAGGAGGTTCTCAAGTTGTTTGTGGCGATGTTTTTTTTTTTCTATGTATGTTCACCAATTTCTCTGTGATTCTTTTACCGATCAGTGTGGTTCCAAAACCAAAATAACCAGGAGAGTTTCTATTTGGTACCTTATATATTATGTTTAAGTATAATATTTGTTTCGGTGAAAAATTCTGAAAACCTTAAATATTCAATATTTATTTTGTTTACATTTGTGCAGATTGTTTACCTTTGTGCAGAGAAGGCAATAAATAATAATAACATTCCTACAGCTGTTAGTTGAAACCATAAATGAAGCTACAGACAATTCTTCATGAAACAGTTGCTTCATATTGATCAATAAACTATTTCTTTCCATGGAGCCTAAATGAATTACATTGAGAAAAATGCATTTTGTTTTGGTTACTATAAAAAATGTATTTTAACGTTTGACCTGATTTGTGTATACAGTAATTCTGTTTTTAGTATTGAATATTCTGACTTACAAAAACATATATGTTTCAGTGAATAGCTGTATGATATTGACAAATAAAGGTGTATTGTGAAAACCAAAGCATTCGTAAAACAGGTCTAAATATAAATCAAATGCAATTATTCCTTACACGACCTATTAAGAAGTGTGACAGTGCATAATCGTCAATTGTCTTAAAAGTGTTAAATATTTTAATTACTAAACATGCATTTGCAGATGTGGAATGTTTATTGATATTCTCCACGGAGTTACTATATCATATCAATACTATTATGCCTGCTTCGGAAAGTCCTAGAGGAAGATGATTTGCAATTTCGACTAGGCTATATATCTTGATAAAACAAAACCACCTACATGGCTTGCACCACTTTTAGCTGAACCAATCTTTCATATAATATTTTCCAAAGGTACTATACGAAAGGTACTATGGTGTTAACGACCAATTTTTCCACTTTTGAGAGATTTTTTAGTGCTGGTAGCCGAGGAATAACTTTCATATTGTTCCAAAAGGCTTGAGACGTTACTGTATTTCTTTTTATAATGTAGCAGTACATCGATTGCAGGAAACGATGATGTCTGACATTTCAATGTATCTAGAAAAGACAATTAGTTTTTCATTAGGCCTAATGTAATTGACAACTCTTTCTTTCTTAAGGAATATCTAAAGATGTTTATTTTCATACCCATTGATTTATGTAACCTGAACAGGTGACTCAAGCAGTTTTAAAATAATGATTGTTCTGTGGAACTTTTGATTGTTTCAAACAGTTTTGCTTATCAAAAATCCTCAAGTAATTAATATATACAAAATTATACAGTCACTAAAAATCATGAAATAATTAATTTTTGTAAAAAAATACAACCGACTTCAAACGCTCTAAAAAGAATGAAATAATTTCAATAAAGTAAACTTTTGTATTAGGCAAGCTCACGTATTTCAAGTCGGCGTGGCTCAAACTGCAAATATGATTGAAATTAAATATTGTGTGTGTATTTTGAAAATCAATAAATTGTAGCTGGATAACATAAATATATAAAAAACATACTGAACTGTTTTGTTTATATATTAAAGGAAATATTTTCTTGTATTTTATGTTTAGTTCAGAATAAATGCATTATGAAAATAACACACACAAATGTTCTATATGAATATGAAAATAATTTAGTTTGATGTTATGATAGGGAAAAGAAGCTAGTTTAGTATTAAAACGTTACTTTTCCAAGTTAGAAACATTTAAATGCGTTATAATCTTTTTAAAGATACTCGTTAATACCACTATAATACCGATCTCTGATTACGGTAATAAAATAACACTTAACGCATAACTATGAAAAAGACATGCAGATTAACACCTTTAGTTATAGATAGTCACCTGCAATATGGACACCCTCTTTCAATTTTGTATCAAAAATCATCATAGAGCCGCGCCGACTTAAAAATACGTGAGCTTGCCTAGTACAACAGTTTACTTTATTGAAATTATAACCCAAATAATGAGTGTAGAATGTAATGAGATGATCTGTGTAGCTTTGTTACTGGCTAGGATCAGCTGTTTCATTAGAATTCATTGTCCTACTTCTGGATATTGCTTTATATTAATTAAATTATTTTGTTACCTTACAATATCCTGTTTAGTGTTGGTAGACAAACTACATGTTTCGTGGCGACTGCCACATCCTCAGGTTTATCCTCTTCTCAATTATGTTATTTAATTTATTCCAACTTTGTATATTATGTTGTTATACCTTGATATTATGTTGTACTTATTTATTTGCATTCACTCTTACTGTAATATTGTGAATTAAATTATGGCCTTCCGTCGTCAAGGCCACATTATGACGTTTGACGACAGACATGTTTCATTAGCCAGGATCATTAATTGTGAGTTATATTTTGCAAAAAAGAAATAATTTCTATATATGATGATTACCATAGCAGTAACCTACAAGAGAGTTTGTGACAGCAGGTAAATCAATGTGATTCCATATTCAAGAAATAATTCCTATCAAGGCTTAACTTGTCGTTAAGCCAAACACTTGTCCAACATTTTTTTATGAATGACTTTTTAAATTTTTGTCCTTGGTTTTACAATATACAATACAACTATTTTGTGAAAAAATATACTATTTGAACTGGCAATCACACCAAATGCTTACAATTATTATAAAGCATAGGTATTATAATTTTGAATCCACACAGAGAAGGGATAAACTACTGAGCATTTCAAAAAAAGGTATGTACTTAAATACAACAATAGTATTTTTTTTTTGCAAATCTGAAAAGAAAATTGATCTACTACTGTAGACATTTTCATGTACTGCTCAAATGAAATTATAAATTATAAAAAAATGAATAAACAAATTAACCAGGGATTAAACTCACAGTAAAATCATCCTTATCTGCCAAAGCTTTGAACAGTGGCATGCATGCTATGATAAAGGATTTTCATCCATTTGTGCGTTATCATGTCAAAAGCTGGAAATAGCCTTTGTGCTCAAAACTGTTGACAGAACCAGCGTTGTATGAAATAAGGTAAAATAAACATTGACAGGACGTGTTATCTCATCAGCCCAACGTTTGTTAACAAAGGATTTGTGTAGTAGCTGGTACAAGGTAGATTAATTATTTCCCATCAAATTTTCGATAGTAAATTTGAATTTGCTGTACATCACATCACTTCCCTGTATTATCTTATATATGAAGAAGATACTAGGGCAGTGCAGGCTCATTTATGATAAAATAAAGGTTTGTGCTTTTTAAGACAATAACAATAACACCCCTATAGGTTTATAGGCTAGCCTATATTATAAATAAATAAATATGTCTTTATTAGGCATTTCTCTGGTACACCAGCTTTTCGTGATACACAACTTTCGTCACTATACTAGACCTTATTCTAATATTTGGCCATTAGACTTAGACAATAGACTTAGACACTTAGACAATAATTAACATTTTTTTTAACACATCTTAGGGTTTTTCTTTAAATGTTTTGATAGATGCAACAACCTTCAGGCCATCGGGTAGCCCATTGTACAATGGAAGGTCCAAATATGAGAAGCTCTTCCACTCAAGCTCAAGAGAAACTCTTGGGAGGTGAAGCCTCCCACCATGACATGTCCTGCGCTGGGAAACCTCATTGGATCGTGAAGAGAAAGCCTCTCGTGTATTGAAATTATGGTTTTTAGAGAAAAATTGGGAAATTTTATGTTTTGGGCTGAAAAAGAGAAAAAACAAATTCCCCCGATCCCCCCATACATCCCCGTTCCCATGGTCCAATCATATGCTGGTTTGCGAACTCGTTGGAATAAAAGTAGGTTTACACGTTTGTACCAAATTTTATCGAAATCAGATTTACGTATATAAAACGTATATAAACGTATTCACCCCTTGCTTTGCTGGATACGTTCCACGCACCGCCTATGTGGATGGGCAAATGCAAGGTTAAAAGAGAAGAGGCCACCAACCTCTTAAAAAAAAAACACCCGCCCAGGCATATACCGAGGCAGGAAACTCCAAACTACCTTCAACCAACCACAATCAAAATAATTGTCTATATGCTATGCCTCAACTGTTAAACGGCCTCAACTCGCTCACGGCCACCTCGAGTGACAACGTGTGTCAAGTAGGGTGTTGTAACAGCTGTTTTGTTTGGAGGCAGCTAATGGTATTTGTGTGTTTTTTTTAAGAGCATGAAAGTTTGGTGACTGGGCTATTGATTGACTCCACTTTAAATGTACAGAAATATATTTTAAATGTATTTTGTTTTAGATTTCTATTCTATATGTTTAATTTTTAATCTTTTAATAAATTTATGATCATAAATTTAATTTTAAATTATTAGTACTCGAATTAATGAGCTGGTGTCCGTCTGCCATGCTTTTTAAGTACTAAAGCGTACTACACTAAAAGGGTACTTTTTAGCACCCGTATCTTTATGGGACGTCTGGCGCTAAATAACACTTGCGACGTTGCCAATTCTAGCAGGCCGCGGCCTGGAGTTAAAGGTGGCTGTGCCGGACTCCGCTGTGTTTCCATCACGTCGCGTTGTCCGATCGATCCAACCACGATAATGGCAACCGTTTGCTTAAAAAATGTATTGTAAATATAGACTATAGTGTTTTAGTGATAATAAGATGACTTAATTAAGAAGACCCCTGAAGATGCCAAATAAGGTGGAGAAATTCATCAGCTATCTTACCTACTCAAAAACTATAGGCTACAACAGCCAACAGCAAAGTTAATCATTCAAGTTCATCAAACTGAAATGGAAAATGAATATTACAACGCACCACGAAACACTTTGCAGCATTCCTAGTCTCTAAAAAAATGTTTTGTAATTTAACCACGGCCACATTTAATTCCAGGCCACCCTGGACTGGAGTTAAAGGTGGCCAGGCATGAACGGGCTTTCTCACACCGGCTCTTACTCCCACGTCGTACACTGTCCGCCAATCGAATGTGAATAAAAAGTGTAATTTCGCGTAAACAATATAACAACAGTGCAAATATAAGAAGTATTTTTCTAGTACTGTAATCGTGATAAGAATTATGAACTGATGGCACACAAGTGATGCACATCGAGCTTTGTACGTTTCATTATAAAAGATATTACAGTAGCATAGCATGCATCGCCTTTCATCCATAGTCCGTAGAAAATATATTGGAAAGAAGAAGAAAATGATAATAAAGTGTTGTTTTGTATTCTGTGTACTGTTTGACTGTATTGTCAATTGTCATGTCAAATACTGGAAAACAACATAATGTATAACCTATAAACTTTTCTATTTCTTATTAGACCTATTTTAAAATGATTAAACAAAATGACTTGTATTATGTATCAAACTATTAACTAACTAAGATAGTGTAGTCGATCCCTGGAGGATTAAAAAATATACCTCGTCGAAATCCACGAAAATGTTTAAATTTGGGTTTGCTTCAGAATGTCACGATGCACAACAAAGTCTTGATTTAAAAAAAGGTAAAGTCCCTACTTGCTATTTCATATTTGTTATACTTTATATTTGATTTATAGATATCCTCAAACTATCAGTGGTATTTACGTTAGGACTATGTGCTTAAATCAATATAACTTGTTAACTTAGGCTCAGTTATTATAAATTGTAACTTAAAACTAAGTTCATTAACCTCCACCAGAATCGTAATAGCCTACTGCTAATTTCATCACAAGAAAGCCTAGTAGTAGTTCTCGAGGTTTTAAAAGTACTCCCGATCAAGGTTAACCTAACCTAACTAACCAAACGATATATATCAAATGAAACAATCGATATTTTCATTCGAATGAGCGTAGGACCTAAAGTAAAGTGCAGGCGTTTCTCCTCTTACCTCCGTTTAAATGCCCAGAGCAACTGAAATCAGACCACTGTTGTACAATTCTAAACAGATTTTATTCTAGATTACCTTTAGAGCCTGCTAAATGATATTCTGGTTCCCACAAGACCGTTCAGCAGTAAGTAAAATCTCCTGATTGTTGGGTGTGGCCAAAAAAAAGGTAGTACTGTACCCACAAAAGTGTGCTCTTTTCCTGCAACCCATTCAAATTGTTCAGTACGATCCACCAGTGACCTACTAACCTAAAGTTTGAGACACGCCTCAGCCTAACCTATTTGAAACGAAATTAAATGAAATGATATTTATTTGTCTGTAGACATAATATAACTGCATGAGACACAGTCAAATTATATAAATACATGCTGGTAGAAGCACAAGTCAAGTTCAGTCAACTAATAGTAAACAATTAGTGTACCGGTACAAGGTTTTAGGACACCTAAACTTACACATCATGCAAATTTGATATCATTAGGGAACTGCACATAAGTTTACCACCATCTGAAGGCAGAACCATAAGCATTTAGGTTATGCCTTCACAACCAATGAGGTCTACCAGCCCTTACTAGTGATGTGCGTATCGATTTGAATATGGATACAAGGACTGGAAAATATCGATACACGGAAGCGTATCGATACACCTAAGAACCAATATCGTATTGTTTATTAATATAACTCTAATTTTTAAGGTAAGTAACTATCCTCCCAAATGTAGTATAGTGGAAATTTGATATTTTACCCTACCATCCTCAAAAACACTGATAGGCCTAAAACATGTATTTTCAGCTGTTTTGCAAATAACCTCAAAACTAGAGCCATCATTAGGCCTAATGGAAGTGGCACTCTCATTGTGCATATTTTTACTATTAAATGTGTCAGTCGGCCTACCCACCACCATTATAGTACGTTTTCTATATTAAGTATCCATGTGCAAAAACTAGGGGAAAAAATAACAAAATCTGTTTTCAGATTTTGAGGGCTTACCGGAAGTTAGAGGTTATGTAAGTAACGTAGTATTTTGTCTCCCAGCTTGTACATTCGAGATATTTGCATTTATTTCTAAAAATTTGAAATAACAAATACGATACGATATTTGATCCAATACGGGTAAAAATGGATACATGAAGATACGATACGATAAACGTATCGATACATCCCGCTCCGATACGATACATTTGTCGATACACATCCCGTTCCGATACATATTGATACGCTATATCGATTCATTGACCTGTATCGAACATCACTAGCCCTTACAGCCTGAGCAAACTGTTAAAAAGTAAAATACAGTAGCCCTGATCTTACTATCCTACCAGTCTTCAATTACGGTACAGTAGCCTATAAATCATACATAGGCCTATCAGTTTTGAAACCAAACCACCAATATTAATGTTTCTATTTCACTTCCTCTTCCCATTGCAAAGCACGGGTAGAACAGCTAATTAAAATATTAAAATCAAGAAACTAACAGCGTACGGTACCACTTGGGTAAAGGTTCTCGGGTAAGGTCATACTAGACCTAGGGTGCGGCCTCGGTCTACTAGGCATACTGGCCTTCAAGTTGGGTGCGGAGTCAGTTGTATTTCAGGATTATGTAAGTGAAGTTTTCTTGCCTTCTAGCAGTAGGTAACCTTTTTTTGGCTTTGTAAAATTTTAAAATTGAGATGCCACAAAGATAGGTAGGCTACTTTTTAACTTTTCAACCCCGTTACAGCAGTAGTGCGCCATACTAACATGTGAGCGCTAAGATACAAGTCCCGTGCTACCTTCCCATGCAATATTTTTGTGGGGAACGCCTAGTCATACCCCTGCCCCGCTCATTGCCAGTACGGTAGGCCTAATTACTGTACTGTCACCAAGATTACAGTAACTGTGTTTGTATAAAGTTCTTTTACTATATGCTTAGTCACTGATCGTATTTTTAATACCATTGTCAATGGAATGCAGAATTAATTTTAGTGTATGGTGATGTTTTTCCTGAGTTTCCAGGTACCTATCCAAATTTCAGCATAGTACTAAATTCGAAACTACGATTCGGTTAATCAAATTTAAAAACTGTTGTTCTAGAGGAAAGCAGTGAAATCAGTTTAGACTGGGTTCCAGCGAATGAAGTTTTTTTGAAAAATGCTATTTCCATCGACATCCTCCAACCAAATGACGTTGAGAAATTTAAGATTGGCTCAGAAGTATTGTCATGCATTAAGGGAACTACAGTCTCCTCTGTAATAAATAGTACAAAGTTTGATGTGGAAGAAAATATTTGTCTTGCTGAAAGAAATCATTCTGATCTGATTCCATCAAAGTATGAAGGTAGTCTACTCGATCGGTTTAGTAGGTTGAATTCTTGAGTGTTTATAGAATAATCCATTGTGGCTAATAATTATTCGTGATTTTATATCTATATACTTATTTAATACGCAAGCAGGAATTTTGTGACAATTACTCCTCCGAAACTACTGAACCGATTGACATGTTTTTGGTGTCATTGGAAAGAGCGTAACGTGAAGTTGTGCAGGAAACTTTCTTTTTAGGGAAATAATTAGAGAGTGAGGCCCTGGGGCCCTTTAAAGTTTCGTATTTCTCCATAAGATTAACATGGGAAACAAAAATTGTTTTGAAACTCCAGCTGTTGTCAGAAATTAAATATTAATAATTGGTCTCCATGGAAGCATGAGAAAATTCACAATGTTTACATTTGCTTTGACATTTAAAATGTAAACAACCAGAACTGTCAAATGCCTATTTCACAATTTTAGACAGCTGATAAAAAAATAAAACAACTATGGGTAGGTTTATTTAATCTTAAACTTTATGATAGATTATTATAAATCTATTTCAATAATTATGAAACAAATTTTTCGCCTATTTCACAATTTTGGATGTTGGTTTGTGTTTAATGATATAAGTTAGTTATTAAATTTTTATTTTAAGTTTTAAGGATTTGGCATATGACTAAGCCTATGATAAATAACACCAGTTCAGATTTCTGCCAGTTTTTGCCTAACTCTGTCCTGTAGAGTTTAAAGTAGCCTACACCTTATTGTCTACAAATTGGCTAAATAACTTAGGTACGGTACTTAATAAAAGCTGACAGCCTTTTTACGTTGACCTTAAATTGTAAGCTTACCGTACCTTTTCCCGTCCATTGGGCAGTTTGATTGTTAAAAATTCACCCTTTAAAATCGAAAAGGACTGTTATGTAAATTGTAAGTATTTCCATTGGTTGATAATCTTTTTGTTGGCTCTTTTGCTCTTTTAAAATCATTGGAAATAATGACTGTTATAAGTTTTCAACCAAGTAATTTGTTTGTAAATAACTCCTGTACTTCTTTGCAATTGCTCGATTTCGAGCAACATGTACACTAGTATATTTTTCAATAGGCTACCTCAAAACAGGGAATAAATTATGATTATTGATGTTTATTCTGTGGAAACAGACCACATTCCACCATCAAATGGAGTCTCCACTGCTCACCAGTAAATGGGTAATCAATTATTGCCTGATTGCCAAAATAATCCATGGTCGGTTTTCGGTTTTATAATGATTTAGTTAACGACTACCATTTTCAAACCATATCAGGCAAGTAGCTTAGTACGTACAACTTCACAAAGAATCAGTCTATGTAAGACTAACATTTTAAACCATATCAGGTGAGTAGCTTCCCTACGTCATTCACCATACACAGAATAGACTTCCCAAGTAATGTAAAAATTTGAAGCCAAAAAAGAGTGGTGCAATCTGTTGAGATGGTCACCAACTAGAGACAATATTCGGTGTTGATAAATCAATCAGCTCTTTGCTATGATACTGCATTGGTTTTAATCAATATTTTACCCAATACACTAGTAAACTCTGGTGAGATGGTCCTGAACTTCATCTATTTTCTTGGCTTCAAACTTTTATATGACATGGGAAGTCTATTCTGTGTATGGTTAATGCCTACGTACAACTTCACAAAGAATCAGTCTATTTTGTAAGACTAACATTTTCAAACCATATCAAGTGAGTAGCTTAGTATGTACAACTTCACAAAGAATCAGTGTATTTGTACATGTTTTTATTTCTTTTGTTTTTCAAATGTTTGTTTCTGAGATATGCTAAAGTCAGAGATAAGTTATTAAGGTTAAAAATTGTGTTGATAACTGATTCTGTATGCTTCGTAACAATAATCGCTCTTCTTTCATTTGTCAGTTGTAATACGACTTAACTCATCAAAACTAAACATTTTTTTAATACACATTTTTTTCTTCTCAAGGTGGTCTAAAGCTGTGGGAATGTACTCATGATGTAGCTGGACTATTACATCAGTCAGAAGTCTCGGGTAAGGTCGTACTAGACCTAGGGTGCGGCCTCGGTCTACTAGGCATACTGGCCCTCAAGTTGGGTGCGGAGTCAGTTGTATTTCAGGATTATGTAAGTGAAGTTAAGTTTTCTTGCCTTCTAGCAGTAACCTTGTTTTGCCTTTGTGATATTTGAAATTGAGATGCCACAAAGATAGGTAGGCTACTTTTTAACTTTTCAACCCTTGTTACAGGCGAAGCTTTCCATTTTTCAAAACAAAAAGGTAACATTGAAACATTTTCTTGGCTCAGTAATTTTCAGTTCCATTCACTTCTATTTGGGATGCGTAACACACTATGTTTAAACTTTACATCACATAAATTGGTGTAAATAACAGCATTCAAGTGTCTAGGACGTTTGCTGTAGGGCAACTAAACTAGTTTAGGAGATAGTAAAGAAAATACTGCTGCTGATGGGCGTGACTAAAATTAAGATGAGAGTTTGAGTCTAGACATAACTTCGGTCCAATCATGGTCCTGCCTATCAGCAGTATTAAGTTATGTTCTCAATTGTTGTCACCAAAATGTTTTTTTTTTTTTTTAACTACTGTTTAAAAGTATCATAATATATAGGCCTATTACAAAACTGAACAGAGCCCACAATACGACCTAAATTTCATAAGTATTTCTAGAATGCAGATGTTCTCCGGTGTGTAACAATCGCCAATGTCCTACTGAATGCAGACGACTCACAGCAGTCTCGGTGTAGTTTCTTTTGCGGTGATTGGGCTTCGTTTGCAGACCTGTCACCTGTTTGCAACCTAATCGTCACCTCAGAGACTATCTACAATCCTGCCAACTATACAAAACTGCATGAAACCATCAAACGGTTACTGAAACCAGACGGAATGGCGTATCCTTTGTTTTATCGATTTTATTAAGCAATGTTTTATTATTATTATTATTATTTAAAGAGCAACGTAGAATTTATTGGAAACTTTATCCACAGAAAAGTCAGGTACAGAGGAAATATTCAATGGTACACCTAAGTGGTGTCTAGCATTAGTCGTTGGTGTTTAGGACAAATAATCCAACATTGTCCCCCCTCACTCTCAGATACAACAACGCTCGTGGTGAAGGAAGACCATGTGCCCTGTGTGATAGGAATTATCGCACAGTGATCGCCACTTGGGCTCTTACTTGCTTGTCACAACATACTAGAGCTGAAATTGCATACGTGTTCGTCCCATAAGCAAGTTGTCTCTGTACCTTACTCCTCTATGGTTTATCTTCTAAAATTGGAAAGTGGAAGGACTTTTATTCTTCCTCCATTTAGTTGAACAGTACTTAAAAAAGTTACTAGAAACACACCACATTGTCACTAAAACAACTAGGAAAGTAAAATACTCAGTACTAGAAGCCAGCGTCACATTGTGACTTCAAAATCTGTGATATATTTCAATTAGTTTACAATTTTCTATTCTTCTGAGTTAAGTTGAAAATCATCTATTTTTTACGTCATAATAATGAACTTATCACTGATCTCTTCAAAGCATCTTAGAAAAATTATAATCAATAAACTAATGAAACATACTGTGAAACACAAATTCCTATAAAAACACAAAATCTAACGTAAGCCATTTTCTTATTTACATTTATACAAATAACATTACAATATTTTACTTGAATTCACTAAAACATCACCAACTGTAACGATAACCCCATTTTTGTATGGATTTAAAAATAGTTGTATCATGTTCATCTGTTTTTATGTAAATAAATGTAAACTTGAAAAAGTTCAGATGATTGACAACAGAAATCAGCACAAACTGAAATTTTAAAAGCCTATAGGACGAAGGCTTTCACGGGATATCCAAACCCACATAAGGCGCATCTAGAGGATAAGAGCTTTAAATTGGTACCCAATATGCCTATGCCTATAAAAATAAATATTTACGGGTTAGGCCTAATTGCCGGATACAATAATCCAACAAATTTAATAATATCTTTCATAATATAGATACTTCCAAATTCATCAAAAAATTTGGCAAAATAAAATACTTTCCTTAACTGTGTAGTTTGATTGGGGCCAAATCATACTACTTCGGAGTTGGTGGAAGTATAAAGCAATTTGAGAAACTAGTTAAAGAGAAGAACGTCTTTGAAGTTGAAACTGTTTGGAAGTGCTCACAAGGTTTGTCTTTGTTTACAGAAAGCCAAGACATCAACATAACAATATGTAAAATCAAAGTTAACTCTTGAGGTTTAGGGATTATTCTTTTATTTAACTTTGCCAATTTTTATTATGTTTTCCCTTAAGAACAACAAATTTTAGTTCTTAACAAGCATGTTTTTAATAATTAAAAAAAACTAGTGGCAAAATGCTTTGACATGAGATGCAACTCACAATGAATACACCCAACCTTCCATCCAAGCCGTTTATTTTAGCTGGGCTTCTCCCATTAAACTCTGACACAGAAGTGTTAACTCCTCAGAGTTATACACCAGACCTGACCGAGACGATTGATTAGATTAATTAGTCTGTCACATTAAAAATCACGTAAATCATACCCAAGCCTAGTTCTAAGGCTTGAATCCCAGGTTTCAGAAGTCAGATAAAGATTTCAGATTTTTGTTGAGATGCTTGTATGTATTTTTAGGCCTAGTTAGAACGTTTGGTTATTTTCTTTCTAGTTAAAAGTTGAACTTTCATTGAGATGACTTGAGAAATTGTCAATTTTTCTGATGCATTATTTTATTGCAGGAGTCCAAAGGGAGATACTGAAACTAACATTTAAAAATGGGAAGTCGTAGTCTTTGAAAAAATAATTTGATAAAGAGACTCAGCTTTGCTAATGGACCTGAAAACTGCAAGTGCTGTAATTTTTAGAGTGCAAGTTCTTGCTAAAAATGTTAATTATAGCAGAGTCCCACCAATGCAAACTAATCGGGACCAGACTCTGGATAACCAATCTGTTCATTTTAGCTGGAAATTTAAGAAAAATTCATAGCATAACTAAGACTATATTTAAACGACTGTAAGTTGAAATAATATTTCAATATATTCAGTGGCGTAGGGACAGTGAAGTGAGTGGAGCAGTTGCTCCAGGGCGGCAAACACTAGGTGGCGGGAGAGGCGACAGGCTAGGATTTTTTTTTACTATGTTGTTGTCAAGCGTGGTAGGGGCGGAAGGAAGGTGAATGGTAGTTTTAACTATTGCCACAACGAGCGCTGAGTGCTGTGATCTGTCAACATAATTATTACAAGATCACTGATTAGTCAAATAAGTGTATACTGTAGTGATTCGTGAGGTTAAGTTTATTGTGCCCCGCGAGCCGGTATTCGAGTTGTTGGCTTATACCACTGTTGTTTAGTGCTAATAATGAACTATGAATTCGGTTAAAAATATGTCTACAAAGTTTGCGGGTGGTGAGGAGGTAAGTTTTGAACAGAGTTGAGTTAAAGCTGCTAGGCCGGCCAAACCCCGATTTAGTTTGTACTGTTCAATTATGCCTTGTATAATGCCCGAACGGGCATTAGCTTCTAACCAAGTGCTTAGACGTCACCAACATCAAAATGTCATTTGTAAATTTGCGTCCTTTGCTCAGTTCCTTCTGCTTACGTGCGTGTTTACGTGGTAAAGTTACCCTTTCTTGGGGAGATTTCTAAGTAAGGATAAGTTCCTTCCAATGAACTTCATTTAAATTCATGCTTTTGTTTTCAAACACCCTAATCAAATAGGTTAAATATAATAAACGCAATAAAAATATTAATCTATGTTTTACAAATTATTATGTTCAATTGTATAAAAACGCTAGTTTACAGTTATTATTTTTTAATCCCCCCCCCCCCCATGGCGGGTATACCATAAATCCCAGATCCCCCAGTACAGGGGGGCGGTTTGGGCCATCCTAGCTCCAGGGCGCTCCAAACCTGGATACGCCACTGAATATATTATATTGCTCCTACGATCAAGACAACACCGTGATTATTTCTCGCTATCATGCTCTTACTACATGATGGCCTGAATAGAGAACCTATGGGACTCTATTAACAAATGGTAATCAGTCTATTGGGGATTATTCAAATTTCCCATAAAAATCCTTTATTTTTAAATACTTCTTAGTTTGTTTTGTTTCTTAAATTGTTAAGGCTATGTAATTCAGATTCAACTCTTCTTGGTTTAGGGGGCACAAAAACATATCATACATGTTTAAGCCATCAGTTTTAAGTTGTGTGGCCATTTTCTGGTGTTCCTAGAAATTTAATTTGCTCTAGTAAGCCAGCCTAACTAGTAAGTCAATAGAATTTTCCAAAAAATACATCAGTTTGTAATATTTGATGTAAATAATTATTTAGTTTTATAAAAATTGTATAGGACTTAATAAAAGTTTGTTTTATTGCCAATGCTGTACAACAATTCAATCCAGCACTAAAATATTTCTTCTTTTGTGTTATAATTTTTATACCAGCACTGAAAAATTATTTTGAACGCATGGCCATGGTTGATTTGCCCTAGAGGCATGTGCGCATGGGCAATTGCTGACACGTCTTCTGAGACAATAAAATCGGCAAACAGCGTGGCAGTCTCAGTTTGACAAAGTTAATGAAGCACTTTTTCTGTGGTTCTCCCAAGAAAGGGAAAGGGGAACCCCTTTGAGTGGACCTATTGTTCAAGAAAAGGTAATACAGTTGAACACCCTGTTCCTTCACGGACAGTACCAGTTGGTTTGACCGGTGGAAAAAACGCCACAATATTCGGCAACTTACTGTCACCGGTGAACAACTTACCTCAGATTAGGCTGCGGTGCAGTAATACCTTGCTTTGTTTCATAATTTAATAAGTGAAGGAAATTATTCCCCCTAAGATATTTCTTAAGTTAGGCCGGTTTCATCGGCGTTATGAAACCGGCCTAAATTTGAGACCTTTTCCTCTGAATCAGAAAGTCGTGCTAATGGGTTTAAGATGTGTAAGGGCCAAGTAACCATAATGGCTTGTTCCAATGCTGCTGGTAATCATAAGCTTCCTTTCATGATGATAGGCAAAGCTGCTATGCCTCAAGCCTTCAAACATATTAACATGAAGTCATTTACAGTGTATTATAGGAACCAGAAGAGAGGCTGGATGGACGGGAAACTGTTTAAAGAATGGCTCCATGACCAATTCGTACCATTTGTTTAACGATTTAGCCAAGAAAATGACATCCCCCCATGTGCCATTCTTTTGATGGATAATGCGCCGTCCCACCCAGTTGTCGACAAACTTACATGTGGCGAAATAAAGGCTGCCTTTTTACCACCAAATGTGACGTCTTTACTGCAACCAATGGACCAGGGAGTTTTGCAGGCACTGAAGCTAAAGTAATTGCAAACATTTTTTAAAGTCCTTAATTGAAGATGATGCATTTCCCTTGGTTTAAAAATTAAACAGACAAACGTAAAGGATGTTGTGTATTGGGCCGCTGAATCTTGGGAAAATGTGACAGCTGGAGCTAAAAGAAAATCGTGAAAAAAGTTATGGACATCTTAAGATTTAGAAGAAACCCCTACCGAAAATGACTCAGTTAACTTGTTACCAATGATTGAAAACATTCCTGGTTGTGAAAATACGTTCCAAGAGGACGTGGATGAATAGATGGCGGAGGACGGCAATAGTGCAGAGACTCTGACTAACAATGACATAATAGCAGCAGTGACGCAAGATCATGTTCAGGGTGTTGAGGGGGAGGGTAGTGATTACGAGCCAGGGGGCAGGGGAGGAGAGGAGAAAGTGACACACAATGACCTGCAGTGCTTGACCTTGAACAACAGTCTACTGCTAGGCCTGCAGATGTGATGTTCATGAGAAAATGGCAGAACTACGGGGGGAAAAACAGACTGACAAAACTACAACAAATGACGATGCAGGATTTCATATCTAATAACAAGTAGGCCTAACCTAAGTTCATTTTTCAGTACAGTATGTGCAATATTTCTTACAAAATATTTCTTTGTTTTATAGGTTTTTTTATTGTTTTGTAAATTTAATCTTTGCTAATAAACAAACCTCCCATTGCCTTTTGTATAGTGCAAATTTATTGAAAAATAATTTCGGGAACGTTTTCGGATTAAGCGGACGTTTGGATTAACCGTGTTAGGATTACCGGGACTAGAGTGTATGTGTCAGATTGCTGATATTGTTTATTTATTTTTATTTTTAGGCTTTTGATAGTAACATGCTGTATACAATCAGAGTAAATTATAATTTTTGTGCTTTCACTGTGACCACAGTAAGCTTTTTTTACATTTACAGGTATAAAAATAATTTCACCAGGTTAAATAAATGTAGTTTTAAAAAATCAAAGGAAATTAGTAGATACATACAATTACAAAACATGCTTTCTATATTAAATTGTATGACAAAAACAATATTTGTGTATGTGACATAATTTTACGACATCTTAAGCCATAAACTGTTCCAACTTATAAGGGAAACTTGTGTTGGAAGACCTGAGTTTATGGAAGACTAGATGACTCTAAAATTGCATGATTCAAGGAGCGAGCCGTTCATAGACCCAACCGTTCTCCCCTACATGTGTCAACCGACCGTCTGCTTTCTCTCCCGATTTACAACGTCGAAACCGAATACGATCGTGAATCCGGTTGCTCTGCCCTTGCCAAAACTCTATTGTTTCTGGCTCCAATATGTATCCACCCCTGCAACAGAGATACAAGTCTCTAGTTTATTCCAAGCACTATCTTCACTTCAAAATGTTAAGACTGACGACTATGTAGAAATTAAGTGCTACATTTAACTAAGAATATACACAACGATGAAGATTTCCCATCCCCATTTTAAACTTGCAGGTACAGCAGAGTATCGATTATCCCAAGCCCAATCATATAACTCATCAGTTAACCAAGAAGTGGCTGATCAGATCATGGCTCAAAAACGACCATTACTAAATGGCTGGAGCAAGTCAATCTAATGGGTCAAAGCTGACAAAACATACCAATGAGGTGGTCGAGGAACCTCCTTATTCGCGTACAGTTGCTCTAACTCCGCCTCCTTCTCGGTGAGTGTTGCTCGACTCTCTATCACTGAGCTCTGGTTGCTACAGGCAGTGCCAATCTGACTAGCCCGAGGCCTGGAGTGGAAGTATTGGTCCGAATCTGCCTCTGGCACCCTTCGCACTTTGCCTTCAATCCTCACCTTTTAACAAAGAAGATAAGATTTTTTTTGACGTAGACAGTAAAATTGAAGTGAATCGGAATATTTGTAATGGTTTGGATGATGGACCTAAAAAGATTAAACAAAAATTTAAGGTAAACGCCAATGAAGATGTGAAAATATATGGTAGTCAAACAAAATACAAACAGGATAGGAAGAAGTTGTTTGATTTTGAGATCAAATACCTTATGGCATATATTGCCTTAAGTGGCGTTTTGAACAAAAATATTTTTTAAGTAATTTTTCATCCAATCTACATGTTGATGGTACAACATTTTAAAATGAGCTTCGTAACAGTGGACACACTAATTACAACAACCCGAGGTTTTAAAGTAAATGGTAAAATAAATAAAATCTATAATAGTTAAAATAATGTTTTGTCTACAAAATAGAACTGTAAACGTCTGTGACAGAGACTATGGACAGGCAACAAAAAAAGTAAGTAATAGAATGTAGCCTACTTCTTCTCAGTAATATCGTCAGTATCAATATATTAGGTTATGAACTGATATCCTTACCGATCTATGGAGGGGCTCCCAGTAAAATGTTATTGCTGCATTAGGGTTCTCCTCCTGGAATTATAAAGTTGACTCAATATGAAACTCCAACAAAATAAGTTAATATATTGAGTTTAAATACTATGAATGGTGGCAAAATAAATGTAAGTAACACAACCATGATCAATTGTTTGTGTAGCGAAGTGGTTACGGTCCTATAGTGCTCGAAGATATTTGATTCCAAGTGAGATTGTTGGCAGACCCCGATGCCATTTTAATCATTGGGTTATCGATTAATGATGATATCCAACAAAAATATAGGACACGTTAACAAGTACAACACATACAATAACATCATTAAGGTTTGGAACATTCCCTTACAGAAAACGTGGATAAACACCAAAAACCAACTCATTTATTTGACTCATTCAAGTATTTCACCCTAAAATTACTAAATGAAAAGATATCAAGTAGCATAATAATTCAAACATAAAAATTATTAGCCTAATGTTTGTTAAAACTTAAAAGACAGTAATCCAAGGGAGTTTATAAGCAACAGACAATAGTTTGGACACTCCAACCATCATCATTCCCAATAGGCAAACGACAATGGGCAGCCACTTTTCCAGACGCATCCCATAACCTAACATCTAAATATTTGGTTTTGAAATACCATGTTGCTTTGAAATGCTGTTCAATGTTACTGAGTATACAAGGGAAAAAATATCCTAGCCTACTAAGTAAGAGAATTAAACATGATAAGCAAAATTGGATTGGATTTTTTCTAAGCCTATTTGCAAAATAGAAGGAATAGAAAAATTATTACAGTCCTTACCAAATCATGGGCTTTCCTGCTGTTATAATTTGTATAAAACTTGAACCCTTCTGTTCCAAAGCCCTTCAGCAACAAGAAGCGAGCAGATGGTTTACCATCCCTAAAACAACAGAAGGTAGGTAAACCTAAAAACAGCAATACAGGGTGTTTGCAAAAGAATGCCGGGATTTTGAATGGTAAATACTTGGGAACTATTTAGTTTTGTTTCCCGTGTAGCAAGGCAGGAAACTTTGACCTTGGATGCACAAAACAGGTGCGCAGTGGTAGGCCGCTATTATGACAACACGCTTGACACCAGTCGCCAGTACGACATTTACGGCACAACAGAAGGCACAGAGTGTAATCTGTGGTTCTCAGAGTTTATATAGATTGCTAAATTAAACTAAATGTAAATCTACTAAAGAAATATGATGCTGGTTTAATGAGTTTTGTGGCACCGTAGTGTTTTGAAAAGACATTCACCTGGCCGGCTAAAAACAAGCGATGACATAGAAAAAAAAGAGAATCCGGCAATTCTGCATCAGAAGCCCAAAAAAACGATTGTCCGGCGAAGTCTTAAGTTGAATATACCGTACCTAAATCGACACGATCTTATCTTTAAAAGATAGTCTTTGTGCCTATAAAGATTCAGTTAAGACATCAGATAAACCCACCGATCGCTAAGCGTACAGACTTTGCCAGTTTTACACTCAATCTGAGTTTTACTAAATTATTCTGAATTGTATCCAATTATTAGAAAACATTTTTTTCTTTTCCCTTCAATTTGATGTTTAAATCGTTAAATTTATCTTCAATAGTTCCCTGCAACGACCGTTTAAAATTCCGGCATTCTTTTATAAACACCCTGTGTTTCTAATAAAAGAACAAATCCTTATTTAGGCCTATAGCATTTATTGTTTTTATCCAGATTAGAAATTACTACCATGGATTACAGAAGTATTACCTATTTTAAATAAAAATATCTTAAAGTTTAGTTTGCACATAACATATAGAACATAGGACTAAAAGAGTTGAATTTTCCACTCTTGAATTAGACTCTCTTGAGTTGAATTACACTAACTTTGATGCAGTCGCTAGGCACATAGAGTTAGCCTCTGCAATCCCAGGAGTTTTGGCAGCTTCGTCGAACCAGATTTTGAACTGATTTATAGGATCGATAGACTGTAGATCAGTTTCAAGGAATGTATTTTCTTTACCATGATACTTTGTACGCATGCCTGCAACAAAATTAAAAATTGTTATGAAAGTTATTTCTTAAGTACAAAAAGTTATTATTCATAATGCTATATGAGTTGGCTTTTAAGAGTCCTTGGAGGCTAGCGGCCATCTTGGATAATTTCAAATAGCTGATGACAAGTTATTTACTGTCCAAAAATATTTTTCAAACACCAACGTGATTATAATTTAAAATATTAGTATAGTGTGAGATTAATGTTCTTTGTAGTCTTGAACTGTTCTCCAAGGGAGTCCATGGAAGCAAACGGCCATCTTGGATTTGCCCCCATAAGAGCAATGTTAATTTTCTTAATTTCAAACAGCGTCGAAGAGTTATTTACGATCTCATAATATTTTTCAAACACCAGAGTGTTTGTAATTTACATATCTAGTATACTGTAAGATTATACATTTTCTTTGTAGTTCTTTAAATGTTTTACGAGTTAGAATGTCCAGGATCCAAGGACTCTTAAGTTCCGAGTTAACTTAAGTTAGTATATATCAGTCATGAATTCCCAACTTAAATTTGACAATGAATCAATTATTTGAGGTGGTTGGATATTTTAATTTTCAAGAATAAATTATTACAGAGGATACGCATCCGGTAACCGGACGTGGATTAGGCGTCCGGCAGTGACGTCAACGGGTTGTGGGGGCCCGGAACGCCATTACCACAACGATACGATGTACAACCATCGGTGTTCGTGGTGTGGTGTAGTGGATAGCCTGATGTGAAAAAAGTCCCTGGTTCGAATCCCATCGGTAACTTTAACTTTTTGTCAAAGATTTTGCTTTGAATGTACTGTAATTTATTCTTAACTGTACCTACATCTTTTGTTAGAGTTTTTGGCATTTATAATTTTATTTTATGAACAGAATTTAACCTTCATTCGATTTTTTAATTATCAGCTAAGTTAAATAGTTTGGTTGGTTAGGTTAGGTTATGACAGTAACTGCCGGACGTGTATCCTCTGCGTAAATTATAACACAAGATGTTAATGTACCTACCTAACTTAAATTTTAAACCTACAAATGTCTGCAACAGAATGTGAAAGTTTCAATAATCAAAGACAATGTTTAAGCAGGCCTACCTAAACCAGTTCCTCACTAGCATGATTTTTGATTGAAAGCCCAATGACAAAAATGGCATCTGGGTCCAGGATCGATCTCGCTTGGAATCAAACCAGCGACTATCAGGTTCGAGGGGGAGTATTAATAAGTTAATTATAACCACTCGGGTCCACAGACAAATTCTTTGACAAGTGTAAATACAAATTATGGTCCATAACATACTAGGATTGATTTGAACCGTACTATTGAAATGCACGCACATTGTAACTTATAATAACTTTATTTTTACAACATAGATGTTTTTGTAATGTAATGTTTTTTAAAGTAACAATAACAAGTGTTTTCTATTTAATATTTATCAACAGCTGACTATATAGAATAATGATTATGACACTCTCCCTCACTTATTGAGAAGAACATAAACTATTTTTGAACGATAAAGTCTCGTAACCAAGGTGGCTGTCGTCGTTGTCTTATTGGTCGTGGAGAGCGAACTGGAATGTTAACTTCTGTAGGGTGGTCTGGTTCTGGTTCAATATGGTCGGGTAATTGATCAGGATACGATGGAGTTTGGTTTGGAAGTCTTGGTACATCAAATGATTGCTTAGGTCCAAATGTTACCATCTTTTCTTTCATTACTAGAGTTGGTCTAAGCTGGTTAATGTGTCTCTTGATATTTCTTCCACTATCGAGTGTTACTATGTAATGTCTTTTTCCTAGCTTCTTCTTTATTACTCCAAACTGCCAAACTTGTCTGTTGTTAGTGTACATTTGAACTTGCACTCTCTCCCCCTCTTGAATCAATCTGACAGGTTTTAAAACAGGCTGGATATTTGATTTAGGGTGTTGATAAGGAAATATGGCATCCAGTCGAATCCTTAGTTTTCTATTGAGGTAGAGTTCAGCAGGGGTTTGGTTGCTAGCTAATGGAGTAGCTCTATAACGGAATAAGATTCTTCTCACTTTGTCTGTCAGGGTTCCAGGTTCTTCAGAAGCTGACTTTAATTTGTTCTTCAGGGTTTGTACGTTGTGTTCTGCATTGTTTTATTGTTTTACGAATTGTGGATATTTATAGGGATGCACTGTGGATGCGATGCTCACTGGTGTGGATTAACGTCCGCACTAGTGAGTACTACGACTATCCGCAGTACTATCCTGATAATTAGACCAATTCGTAAATTACAAGGAAAAATGTGGTTCGGATTCCACTATAAACTGTAGGTCCCTTAGTTGCCATTAGCTGTATGGGCTATTAATTAACAGCTGTGTCTAAGGAACATGTCGGCCTTAGTCACTAACAAGACTACAAGATCGCGCCACTCATCCTACACTCATCCTTCACTCATATTTGGGTTAAAATACGCACAAAGTGGCGTCCCCATCTTAAATAATTGATAATTGATAATTGATTGATAATTGATAATTGATTAGTCCAATGACTTATTTAAGGATAGAAGTTGAAGGCATAACTTGGAAATAAATTAAGTTGAATCAAAAGACATGATTTAGCCCCCCGAGCTGAATTGATAGTAAATTAAGTTGGTTAATCAAATATACCACCTACCTTGAATATTAATTTCATTTTCACTGCCCATATTGATAGACGATAAAAATCGACTAAATTGAAAATTTGTTTGGCAAAAATTTGAGCTGATATGTCTGAATGGTACAAGTCTACTCATTCGGTTGTATACAGTAACTCTTCTTAGGGTACAGTTCAGGAGACTTAACTTAGATAAGCACTTCAATATAAGGATTGTTAAGTTGATTGCATAACTGTTAATGGCTTTAGTAGTCTAAAGCCTGTATTTAATAGGTACCTATACTTAGTTGTTTATAACAGTATAACACAATTTACTATTGATGGGTTAGTTTTTGCCAAGCAGATTTCATAAGTAGAAGGAAAATGCGATGCAACTCTCTCTAATTAAGATAATTCAACTTAATTCTTCATTCACTAACTAATTTCGACTAAGATTACGAATAAGAATAATTTTATTCAAAATACAATCAGCCCAATCACTTAGATAAATAATGTAAACAAACAAACAAACACACTAACCAAACAAAAACATAATGTGAATGTGACACTACAGTCACTACACTACACTCTAGGACTAAAGCAAAAAAAAATACTTTAAGGGAAGCAGACGACTGCAGAAAACGTTTTAATAATTCCAGAGTTGCCAACATAAACATTTGTAATACTACCACGATTCGGGGTTATGTGAAATAGCACAGACCATAAATAGGCTACATTTTATTTGCAACACTATTGTTAACATGCCAAATGTCACGTTTAAATTATCCCTTACAAATAGTGATTAGGACGCTATAGGGCGTAATTTAGCCCAAGGATGAATGTAGAATGGAGTGAGAAGTCTAAGGAGCTTCGTTTTATGTATACATTTAAAGCTAGTTATACAATAATAGTTGAGTGGATGACAATGAATCAGTTGTTCTAACAAAGATTAAAGGTTTCTTTAACCAGGACCAATTATCAAGATGTCTTTTTTATTTAGAACGACTAATCTCCAACCAGAAAATATTTTCTTTACTGGGCCCAGCTACGTCCTTTAATCATTGTCTTTTTATCAATTATCTAATCAATCAATCTTATCATTGAGTTAAAGAACCAGCTGATTTTAGTCATTGTCAAAGCTGTCAACTCATCGTTCACTCGTCTTAACCTTAAAATACCCCCGCCGCAGCAAACCTGCAGACTTAGCGAATTTCCATTTGCCTGATTGGATTTAAACTAAAATGTCTCCTTAAAAATATCACATTTATTCCCTATTTAAACAGAATTAGTTTAATGAGTACTTAGGTTTGCTGCAACAGGGAGGGTAAAAAAGTTTTTTTTATGTATAATATTAAAAGGTACTGTGGTTTAGTAAGAAATTAATGTATTTTCCAACTTTAATCAAAATATGTTCATAAACAAGCAAACTACAACAGTTGACTTATTGTCCATAAGAATAACATGGGAATTTTAAAATTACAATTTTTTTGAATTTTCTCCGTAACAATTAGGCGCATAATAATGCTTCAATATACTAAATTATTTGTTTTTTTAAGCTCTACAAAATGGTTTAAAAAGAAATTGTGAAATTTTGTGTTTTTAGGGTCAAAAATGGGAAAAACCCATTTTTACCCCATACAACCCCCCATAAACCCCCGTTCCCATTGTCCGATCATGCTGGTTCGCGAACTCATTCAAGTTTATCCCGCCTTACACCTTCTAACCAAATTTTATCAAAATCGGACAGAAATTACTCAAGTTATCGTGCGGATGGACATATATATATATATATATATATATATATATATATATATATATATAAAAATTTGAACGAATGGTGTTTTTGGCCTCTGGGGACATCAAAATGAAAAAGTAAATCGGTCCCGGGCTTAGGTCTTACCATGAGACCTACGGTAATAGCTACTTCCCTATAGGGAAATTCGCTAAAAGATGGTGATACACTTGCTAGTGTTGCCACTTTTAGGATAATTACTTAATACTTCTTTTTTAGGGTAATTTACTTGTCTAAAGGTAAAGTTTAGGGTGATGGCAAATTTAGGGTAATTTTATGGTAAAATCACAAGCTATCAAAACAGTGAAAATTCAACAAACAACTTATTTCCATATTGATTGAACTTCTAGTTGCGAATTATGCTGGGTTATTGATTTTATTCGATTCTACAACAGGTTATGGAACAACCTCTTGTTATACTATTGTTTACTTCTTGCTATTTTTAGCGAATGTCCCTATAGGGAAGTAGTTATTACCGTAGGTCTCATGGTAAGACCTAGGCCCGGGACCGATTTACTTTTTTCATTTTGATGTCCCTGGAGGTCAAAAACACTACTGTACGAGTTAAAATTTGTATGTATATGTGTATACAGGGTGTTGAAAATGTCTGGAACCAACATTATATCTGGTGAGTGGTTAAAGAAAAACAACTGATATTTTGTGTACGGATATACTATGGTTTTACCTATCTTTTGGTGCCTTATAAAATTTTTTACCACTTATAGGGAACGTCCTATGGAGGATGCAGTGAAAAGTTTTAATGGAAGCCTATGGTAAATGATACATCATTTTAAAGGCCATTTTGTTCTGAGTAAGGAGCCACAAGTTTCATCTCAAAAGGACCACCCTTGCAAAAATGGCGACTGTTTGTTAAAAATAAAAATAAAAATTACAAAACAAAATAAAAAATCGGTCCCGGGTCCAGGTCTTACCATGAGTACTACGGTAATAGGGTAGCTTATTCCCTATATGGGAAATTCGCTAAAAGTGGTTCAATTTAATTGCACTGAACGATTGATTGTTATTTACCTTTAAAAAGTATGTTAAATTAAAACAATCATATTTAGTGGAAATCTTTAGACCTTATTTCAAATATTTCTCCTGATATAAATTAAGTCTCTTAATTATTTATACGAGGTTCTTTTCACTAAAAATTGGTGACCCCGACGTGATTTGATTTCGAAAGATTATTCAAATCGTTAATCTATTCAATTAAGTAAATCAAAAACATATCATATGGAACTCGATGAAGAAGTATTGACAAGACTAAAACTATTGGAAATCCTAAAAATATATCTTATTGTTTATTTATCTCTTCTTAGTAACCAAATTAAATAAAACTAGTGCCTGTTGCTCAAAATCGAGCAATTGTCAAGTACCGGTATTATACAGAAGTTATTCTAAAACTACAGTAATAACAGTCATAATATTCGATGAGTTTAAAAGACCCCACTATAAATGCTTATGTAACTAATTGAAATACTCACGCTATTAATAGCGCTTTGAAATAATAAACGCTTCTTGTAAAAATATTTTAGCATTTTTTGGACCGGGCCTTATTTCTTTCATGTATTTATTTCATATGACTTTAGGTAAGTTTACTTTACCACTGTGACAACATGATGTGTATATTCTTCATGTTTTTTTTTTACTTCCAAAATAAGTTGCTTAACATAACTGGCAAAAATAATTACTCATCTCCCCAAGTGATTGTGTACGTGGATTCCTTACTGTGAGACCAGGCCTCTCGTCTGCTCTTCTCATGCGTATAAGATTTCCTATTAATTGTCTCCTCCTACTGTTTTCAATATTTTTCCTTTAAACTCAAGAAATTGTCTGTTCTTCCATCAAAACTGATTGACTGTTGGGTCTGACTTAGGGGAGGTACGAATGAGGCATTTAGTTCTAAATTCCTCCGTGAACAGCGCTGTAGTAGAGAGCACTTTGGCAATGAAGGTTTACTAATCGCAAAAATAGTTCTGTTCATAAAATAAAATTATAAATGCCTCAAATTCAATTTTATTATTTTTTAATTATAAAATTAAACTATCATAACCTAACCGAACTAACCAAACTTGCTGATAAAGAATAATATAACAAAAGTTTAGTAATCGGAAAAATAATTCTGTTTATTAAATAAAACTAGAAATTGCTCAATTAAAATTTTATAATGACTTAATAATAAAATTAAACTGTAATAACCGAACCAAACCAAACAAACTTGCTGATAATAAAAACGTCTTGGACAAAAAGTTAATGCTACCAGCGGGATTCGAACCCGGGACCTACAGTATATCAGCCCAGCACGCTAACCATTAGACCACCGAGGCCGATGGCTATTGTCCGTTTTGTTACGGTAATGGCGTTCCCTCAGCTAATAAGAAGCCCACAGCTGTCATCGTAGCCTCTTCTATACCTCCCCTGAGTAAATACCTTGACTGTTTAGATTTGTCTATATAACCTCCTATTACAAACATCAATATTTACTCCCAAAAAGCTGATGGCGAGTTTCTTTTTATATACAGCTGCTTTTGTTTTTTTGTTTTTAAATTGACCTTTGTTAAGAGTAAGAGTTTTTAAACTCTAAAACCTTTATGCAAAACTACGAATTGAGAAGAATTATTTGACACCTCAAACATTACAATCGGTCCAGAAATAACGGAGGAGTTTTGTTCACAAAAACAGCCCTCACGTATTAATATAAGAGACTAGCTGTAACCCGCGGGCTTTGCCCCGTTTAACTTCTTAATTTTTATTTTCCGATACAGAGTGTGCCAAAAACTGAGGGTCACTAGTTCGAATCTCGGAATTTTCATATGTCATGTTATACATCATTTTAAAGGTATTTAATATACAAACATTTTGGCGAAAATATAAATGAATTATCTTTTTTCGTTTCAAAATGGCAGAAGTTTATTTGAAAAAAAATCAATATGTTTTTAATACTCTGTGTTTCCTATACCAATTGCATTTAGCCCTTCTCTGGTTGAATTTTCTTACTCGTTATGAAATTAGCTTTACTGTGATTTGTTACAATAACGGGTTTTTGAAATAATAAAAATTCCAAAAATAATTGATTTTTGAAAATTTGCCATTTTGAAACGAAAAAAGATACTGTAATTCATTTCTGTGTTTTCACCAAAATGTTTGTATACTAAATACCTTTAAAATTATGTATAACATGACATATGTTTACTTTTGAAAATTCCGAGATTTGAATTAGTGACCCTCAGTTTTTGGCACATCCTGTATCGGAAAAAGTTGAAAATATTTTTACGTTATTCGTTGGGGTCGATTTAGCGGGAAATAATTTCATTTTATAATCAAATTATTCCATAATCAATTTGAGACAGCTTCCATGGGACACTCCGTATATGTGTGTCCGTGACGACGATAACTTGAGTAATTTTTATCCGAATTTGATAAAATTTTGTTTGAAAGTGTAAGGCGGGATAAACTTGAATGAATTCGGGAACCAGCATGATCGGACCATGGGAACGGGGTTTAACGGGGTTTTATGGGGTAAAAATGGGGTTTTCTTGTTTTTTACCATTAAAACAAAAGAATTATCAGTTTTTCTCCAGACCTTTTAAGAGTTTAAAAAACAAATAGATTAGCATATCAAAGTGTTTTTACACGGTTATTGGTTACGAAGAAAATTAAAAAATTGTTCTTTT